CCCCCACCTTGTCCCAGCAGACAGGAGGACAGAACTCCTCCAGACCCTGGGCTCTCTCTGTGCAGTGCAGCAGCACCTCCCTCGTCTCCACCCCCACATTGTCTAAGACAGAGGAGAGAGGATCCTGGGCCTCTCTGTGCAGCACCTTCCTCGTCCCTGTCCCCACCTCCCAGCAGACAGGAGGATAGAACTACTCTTCAGATCCTGGGCCTCTCTGTGCAGCCAGTGGCACCTCCCTCGTCCTGTCCCCCACCTTGTCCCAGCAGACAGGAGGACAGAACTCCTCCTCCAGATCCTGGGCCTCTCTGTGCACCAGTGGCACCTCCCTCGTCTCTCCACCCCCACCTTGTCCCAGCAGACAGGAGGACAGAACTCCTCCAGATCCTGGGCCTCTCTGTGCAGCAGTGGCACCTCCCTCATGTCTCTGTCCCCACCTTGTCCAGCAGACAGGAGGACAGAACTCCTCCTCCAGATCCTGGACCTCACTGTGCAGCCACAGCACCTCCCCCGTCTCTGCCCCCACCTTGTCCCAGCAGACAGGAGGACAGAACTCCTCCAGATCCTGGGCCTCTCTGTGCAGCCACAGCACCTCCCTTGTCTCTGCCCCCACCTTGTCCCAGCAGACAGGAGGACAGAACTCCTCCTCCAGATCCTGGGCCTCTCTGTGCAGCAGTGGCACCTCCCTCGTCTCTGTCCCCCACCTTGTCCCAGCAGATAGGAGGACAGAACTCCTCCTCCAGATCCTGGGCCTCACTGTGCAGCAGTGGCACCTCCCCATCTCTGCCCCCACCTTGTCCCAGCAGACAGGAGGACAGAACTCCTCCTCCAGATCCTGGGCCTCTCTGTGCAGCACAGCACCTCCCCCTCATCTCACCCCCACCTTGTCCCAGCAGACAGGAGGACAGAACTCCTCAAGATCCTGAGGCTCTCTGTGCAGCAGCGGCACCTCCCTCATCTCCACCCCCACCTTGTCTCAGCAGACAGGAGGATGGACCTCCTCTTCCAGATCCCGAGCCTCTCTGTGCAGCTGCAGCATCCCCTCGTCTCCACCTCACCTGGTCTTAGCATACACAAGACTCCAGCAGCTGACTCCAGCCCTCCTTTGGTCCTCCTCCAGATGCTGCACTTTCTGCTGCGGCCCCCGCTTCGTCCTGGAAGTAGAACAAGGTAAGGCGGGTGCACTGTGATGTAAGAGAGGGTGGGGGACTCTTAAATTCTGATGGTGGGGGGCCTCTTCACATCTTATGTAAGGGGGGTTGGGGGTACTCTGAACAGGCCTGGACTGGCCACAGGGCACACCAGGCATTTGCCCAGTGGGCCAGGGTCACTGGGCCGTGTGTTGATGATGACCGCACAGTGGAAGGTAAGTGGTGCCCCCGGTCCAGGCAGGACTAACACAGACTGTGGCCGCCGCTTGCCTCCCGCTATGCAGCCACGCCTACAGCAGGGTTGGCGCCAGCAAACTAGGGAGTGCAGAAGAAGGACGCCAGCAGGGGACACATATCTCCTGGGCCAATCGCTGCTTTGCTGATAGGATGACATCGTTGTCGGGGACGGAGACCCTGGAGAGGACACAGGGCTGAATCCTGCTTCTGCCCTGCCAAAGGTAGGACTGTGCAGGGGAGGCAGAGAGTAAAAGGGGACATTCTGATTAGAGAGAAATGGGGCCATAACTGCACGGGGCACTGTAATGGGGGGGGGGGGGGGGGGGGCTGTGATTGCTAGGGGCACTGTAATGGGGGGGCTGTGATTGCTAGGGGCACTGTAATATAAAGGGGACTGCACTGTAAAGGGGCACTGTAATATAAAGGGGACTGCACTGCAAAGGGGCACTGTAATATAAAGGGGACTGCACTGTAAAGGGGCACTGTAATATAAAGGGGACTGCTCTGTAATATATAAAGGGACTGCACTGTAAAGGGGCACTGTAATATAAAGGGGACTGCACTGCAAAGGGGCACTGTAATATAAAGGGGACTGCACTGTAAAGGGGCACTGTAATATAAAGGGGACTGCACTGCAAAGGGGCACTGTAATATAAAGGGGACTGCACTGTAAAGGGGCACTGTAATATAAAGGGGACTGCACTGTAAAGGGGCACTGTAATATAAAGGGGACTGCACTGTAAAGGGGCACTGTACTATAAAGGGGACTGCTCTGTAATATAAAGGGGACTGCACTGTAAAGGGGCACTGTAATATAAAGGGGACTGCAGTGTAAAGGGGCACTGTAAAGGGGGCACTGTAAAATATAAAGGGGACTGCACTGTAAAGGGGCACAGTTATATATAAAGGGGACTGCACTGTAAAGGGGCACTGTAATCAATACCACCACTCAGGGGCGTCCCTAGGGTTGGTGTCACCCAGTGCTACAACACTTGGTGACACCCCCTTCGACAATCCCTGCAGAATGGATCGGATCTGCGGATTGAGTATAATGGATCGGACTCCGATCCATTATGCTCCCCCCAATCCGCAGATCCAATCCATCCTGCGGGGATCGTCGGCTTTCTTTACAACTTACCTTTTTTGTGGATCGGGTCCAGTGTCACCCCTTATAGGTTGCATGCCGATGATCCCCCCCGCAGGATGGATGGGATCTGCGGATCCATTATGCTCCCCAATCCGCAGATCCGATCCTTGCTGCGGGGATCGTCGGCTTGCTTTACAACTTACCTTTTCGTGGAGCGGTCTGGTGTCACCCCGTGCAGTAGGTGTCACCCGGTGCGGCGCGCACCCCCCGCACCTGCCTCAAGACGCCGCTGCCACCATCAGCTGCACTAGGTTCTCGCCTTATTATTTGACCTATAAAGATATTAGGGCACAATGTGCCGTCCCCTTTAAGGGGCAGATGGGTGTCAGGTTATTCCTTCAGTCTTCTGTTGGAATCTTACATCTCCATCTATCCTCTGCATCTTCCTGGTTTCTAGTTTTTCCAAAGGTGGTCTTTTGTGGTCTGTATATCCCCCACAACAGGTGCTCAGGAAGAAATAAAAAAAAAAAAAAAATCATAGTGCTTTCTGCTACAATACCATAGCATTTGTTAAAGCACCAAATTTTACTGCTAGTAAAAACATGTACACCTCCCCCTTAAGATCATGGTACGATTGGCTGTGCACTCTGCAAATTAGCTCACGTCCGGGTGTGGACGTTATGACGTCACTAGCTCTGCCCTACCTGTGTTGCGCCATGCCCATGTGACAGATTGTGTAGAATGTTAAAGGCTGCCTTGACCGAGAAAAGGTTACGAAACACTGGTCTAGGGTACTCCAATAGTGAGATCTCCCCACCATCATTTTCAGCTCTGTTCAGGTCCATCTGGGAGTTTTGGGTGTTCCCACCAACCTTAGCGTGTCCCAGCTCCTCCTGTTATATTCTTCATGTAAACTCAATAATAATTCAACTGGGATGGTGGGAACCCCTCATAATGAGCACAGTAGGTGTACAGACCCGGAAACTCAACACAAAGGTGGTGGGAACCCTTAATAATGGGCACAGCAGGTGTACCTGGGACCTGGGAACTCAGTGGCACAGGGATGGTGGGAACCCCTCATAATAGACACAGTGGGTGTACAGACCTGGGAACTCAACTCAGGGATGGTGGGAACCACTCATAATGGACACAGTGGGTGTACAGACCTGGGAACTCAACTCAAGGATGGTGGGAGCCCCTCATAGTGGGCACAGCGGGTGTACAGACCCAGAAACTCAACACAAGGATGGTGCACACCCCTCATAATGGGCATAGCAGGCATACAGACCCGGGAACGGGCGGACTGACCATTTGGAAACTCAGGCACTGCCCGAGGGCCCGGGGTCAGTAGGGGGCCCCATGAGATGCCCCTGGTACCCTTTTTCATAGGCTTTTTTGAGCTTGGGCAAGGACACAGGGGCCCATGATCCCCTATTGCCCGGGGGCCCCATGAGTTGTCAGTCCGCCCCTGCCCGGGAACTAAGTACAGGGATGTTGGGAACCCCTCATAATGAGCACAGCAGGCATACAGACCTGGGAACTCAGCACAGGGATGTTGGGAATCCCCTCATAATGGGTACAGCGGGTGTACAGACACCAGAATTCAACACAAAGATGGTGGGAACCCTTCACAATGGGCACAGCAGGTGTACAGATGGGAACTCAGTAGAGGGATGGTGGGAACCCCTCATAAAGGGAACAACAGATGTACAGACCTGGGAACTCAACACAAGGATGGTGCAAACCCCTCATAATGGGCACAGCGGGTGTACAGACCCGGGAACTCAACACAAGGATGGTGGGAACCCGTCATAATGGGCACAGCAGGTGTCCAGACCCGGGAACTCGACACAAGGATGGTGGGAACCCCTCATAAAGGGAACAACAGGTGTACAGACCCGGGAACTCAACACAAGGATGGTGGGAACCCCTCATAATGGGCACATCAGGTGTACAGACCCGGGAACTCAACACAAGGGTGGTGGGAACCCCTCATAATGGGCACAGCGGGTGTACAGACCTGGGAGCTTAACAGAGACGGTGCAATGTTGGTGAATTCTCTACACTTCTGTATGACATTCATAGTATCAGTTTTTATAGTATCCAGCGTACGGTTTACATCAGACTCGTTTTTTTTCCCAGGCGATCTTTTTCCAAATTATTATAATTTCTCCCTTTTCAACCGCAGCAATTTGTCCCCTGAAATTACCGGAATTAGAACCCGTTACATAAATCACAAGCGCGGTGCCAAGGTAAATGCACTGCAGAGGATTTCAAGGGCTTCATTCAAACTGTTTTGCTTGGAGTGACTGAGGCCGTTCCAGGCGCCTTTTTATTTCAGTGTTTTTCAGCTAATTGGAGGACCTGCAGCTTTTACAGATTTTAATAAGTATCAATGATAAAGTGTCATGAGAAGAACGCTCTGCAGGCTGAATGCAGGCGGGCGCGGTTCAAGGGCCCTCCGCCTCACAAATTTGTTTTAATGATGAAAATGAGGAAAAAAATGTTATCACGTGTAATGAAAAAGTCCCGTTGCCAGCCTTACCCTTCCGCAATGTGAAATGAAGCCCAACTCTCAGTTTTGTCTTTTATTTAACCACTTTCAGTCTGGACACTTTCCCCCCTTCCAGTCCCGGACACTTTCCCCCCCTTCCAGTCCAGACACTTTCACCCCCTTCCAGTCTGGACACTTTCCCCCCCTTCCTGTCCGGACACTTTCACCCCCTTCCTGTCCGGACACTTTCACCCCCTTCCAGTCCGGACACTTTCACCCCCTTCCAGTCCGGACACTTTCACCCCCTTCCAGTCTGGACACTTTCACCCCCTTCCAGTCTGGACACTTTCCCCCCCTTCCAGTCTGGACACTTTCACCCCCTTCCTGTCCGGACACTTTGCCCCCCCTTCCAGTCCGGACACTTTCCCCCCCTTCCAGTCCGGACACTTTCCCCCCTTCCAGTCCGGACACTTTCCCCCCCTTCCAGTCCGGACGCTCTCACCCCTTCCAGTCTGGACGCTCTCACCCCTTCCAGTCCGGACGCTCTCACCCCTTCCAGTCCGGACGCTCTCACCCCCTTCCAGTCCGGACACTCTCACCCCCTTCCAGTCTGGACACTCTCACCCCCTTCCAGTCCGGACCTCTCAGCCCCTTCCAGACCGGACGCTTTCACCCCCTTCAAGTCCGGACGCTTTCACACCCCCTTCAAGTCCGGACGCTTTTCACCCCCTTCCAGTCCGGACGCTTTCACCCCCTTCCAGTCCGGACGCTTTCACCCCCTTCCAGTCCGGACGCTTTCACCCCCTTCCAGTCCGACGCTTTCACCCCCTTCCAGTCCGGACGCTTTCCCCCCCCTTCCAGTCCGGACGCTTTCCCCCCCTTCCAGTCCGGACGCTTTCCCCCCCTTCCAGTCCGGACGCTTTCCCCCCCTTCCAGTCCGGACGCTTTCCCCCCCTTCCAGTCCGGACGCTTTCCCCCCCTTCCAGTCCGGACGCTTTCCCCCCTTCCAGTCCGGACGCTTTCCCCCCTTCCAGTCCGGACGCTTTCCGCCCCTTCCAGTCCGGACGCTTTCCCCCCCTTCCAGTCCGGACGCTTTCAGCCCCTTCCAGTCCGGACGCTTTCAGCCCTTCCAGTCCGGACGCTTTCACCCCCTTCCAGTCCGGACGCTTTCAGCCCCTTCCAGTCCGGACGCTTTCAGCCCCTTCCAGTCCGGACGCTTTCAGCCCCTTCCAGTCCGGACGCTTTCAGCCCCTTCCAGTCCGGACGCTTTCAGCCCCTTCCAGTCCGGACGCTTTCAGCCCCTTCCAGTCCGGACGCTTTCAGCCCCTTCCAGTCCGGACGCTTTCAGCCCCTTCCAGTCTGGACGCTTTCACCCCCTTCCAGTCTGGACACTTTCACCCCCTTCCAGTCCGGACTGGACGGGGGTGAAAGTGTCCGGACTGGAAGGGGGTGAAAGTGTCCGGACGCTTTCACCCCCGTCCAGTCCTGACGCTTTCCCCCCTTCCAGTCCGGACGCTTCCCCCCCCTTCCAGTCCGGACGCTTCCCCCCCCTTTCCAGTCTGGACGCTTTCCCCCCCTTCCAGTCCGGACGCTTCCCCCCCCTTCCAGTCCGGACGCTTCCCCCCCCTTCCAGTCCGGACGCTTCCCCCCCCCCCTTCCAGTCCGGACGCTTCCCCCCCCCCTTCCAGTCCGGACGCTTTCCCCCCCTTCCAGTCCGGACGCTTTCCCCCCCCTTCCAGTCCGGACGCTTTCCCCCCCTTCCAGTCCGGACGCTTTCCCCCCCTTCCAGTCCGGACGCTTTGCCCCCCCCCTTCCAGTCCGGACGCTTTCCCCCCTTCCAGTCCGGACGCTTTCCCCCCCCTTCCAGTCCGGACGCTTTCACCCCCTTCCAGTCCGGACGCTTTCACCCCCTTCCAGTCCGGACGCTTTCACCCCCTTCCAGTCCGGACGCTTTCACCCCCTTCCAGTCCGGACGCTTTCCCCCCCTTCAGTCCGGACGCTTTCCCCCCCTTCCAGTCCGGACGCTTTCCCCCCCTTCCAGTCCGGACGCTTTCAGCCCCTTCCAGTCCGGACGCTTTCCCCCCCTTCCAGTCCGGACGCTTTCCCCCCCCTTCCAGTCCGGACGCTTTCACCCCCTTCCAGTCCGGACGCTTTCACCCCCTTCCAGTCCGGACGCTTTCACCCCCTTCCAGTCCGGACGCTTTCACCCCCTTCCAGTCCGGACGCTTTCACCCCCTTCCAGTCCGGACGCTTTCACCCCCTTCCAGTCCGGACGCTTTCACCCCCTTCCAGTCCGGACGCTTTCAGCCCCTTCCAGTCCGGACGCTTTCCCCCCTTCCAGTCCGGACGCTTTCAGCCCCTTCCAGTCCGGACGCTTTCGCACCCTTCCAGTCTGGACGCTTTTTTTCTGCAACCTTTTTTTTAACATGGAGGAACCCTTGAAATAAATTTTAGGCTCCAGGGATAATAATTATTATAACTACAGCTCACAGTACATTAATGTGATGGTCAGCAGGAAAAATGCTCCTTACATTGGTGGTCGTTGGGAAGAACCCCCCCCCCCCCCCCCACAGATAGCTAAAAAGATTATTGGTATCAGTGGTTACCCATCTTGAAGGGCAGAACTTGCTTATTGCTCAAGAATCCCTAGGAACCTCTGGAGGAACCCTGGTATACTGTATGTTCACAGAATGTTATGGCTATGCACGTCAAGGACAACCGGTTATGATCCCACATGCCCACAAGGTGGCACCATCATTACATAAAAGTTATTATCGCATGCTGGGCATCGCATTTCTGTGCAATATTGCATCTAAATGATGTTTGGCTTCTGAAATTGCACTCATCCTTCTACTATTTGTCTGTCTCTTTTCACTTTACCTTAACTCCCCTCTGTGAATCGTGACGTTGCCTCTGTCACATCCCCCCCCCCCTCTTCCACACATAGAGACTTTCTAAGGACATTGTGTCTTTTTATTTCACTTTTTCAATCCTGTAGACGTGGGAACCCTCCCTGTGCAGGCTAATTGAATAAAGCAGCGCAAACAAATCTTCCATAATAGAAGAGAGGACAGCGCTTAGTCTGTCCGCTACAAGGTTGTTCAAAGCAAACAAGATGCGTCTTTTTTTTACAGCTGGCTATTGGCTTGCTGAATGCGGCTTTTCACTGAAGGATATAATGGCGTAGACCAATTCCAGCAGATAATGTACATTCGGGCAGAGGCATCATTGCTGAAATTGTACGGCGAATCTCAGCCTCATGAATGGCGGAGGCATTGACTGTTTGCCCCCGAAAGCTGGTTTGAAGCAAATCATGTCTGACTTATCGAGATGATGAAGTAACAATGGAAAATGAGGGCTGTAGAACCCTCTCCTCTGCTTTTCAGAATTTTGGTTGTCAGTCGGATCCCCTAGCCTCAATGCTGAGTCTTTGGCTTGGAACAAGTGTGTAGATCCCTGGTGCCCAACCTGTGGCCCAAGTGTGTAGATCCCTGGTGTCCAACCTGTGGCCCAAGTGTGTAGATCCCTGGTGTCCAACCTGTGGCTAAAGTGTGTAGATCCCTGGTGTCCAACCTGTGGACCAAGTGTGTAGATCCCTGGTGTCCAACCTGTGGACCAAGTGTGTAGATCCCTGGTGCCCAACCTGTGGACCAAGTGTGTAGATCCCTGGTGTCCAACCTGTGGACCAAGTGTGTAGATCCCTGGTGCCCAACCTGTGGACCAAGTGTGTAGATACCTGGTGCCCAACATGTGGCCCAAGTGTGTAGATCCCTGGTGTCAAACCTGTGGACCTGTAGTGTGTAGATCCTCGGTGTCCAACCTGTGGACCAAGTGGGTAGATCCCTGGTGTCTAACATGTGGCCCAAGTGTGTAGATCCCTGGTGTCCAACCTGTGGCCCAAGTGTGTAGATCCCTGGTGTCCAACCTGTGGACCTAGTGTGTATATCCCTGGTGTCCAACCTGTGGCCCAAGTGAGTAGATCCCTGGTGTCCAACCTGTGGCCCAAGTGTGTAGATCCCTGGTGTCCAATCTGTGGCCCAAGTGTGTAGATCCCTGGTGTCCAACCTGTGGCCCAAGTGTGTAGATCCCTGGTGTCCATCCTGTGGCCCAAGTGTGCAGATCTCTGGTATCCAATCTGTGTCCCAGGGCCATATGAGGCCTTTTGGTATATGGTTTACAACCTTGAACCTCAGCAGTCTGTAGTGGGAACATTGAATAGGGTAAGTGCATTGATCTCCACCAGCCTCATGTACCATGTTCCCAGTTTCGTATTGTCTTCTGCAGCATATCTGCAGCCAACAATGTATCCCGTCCTCACTCTCTGACCCTCATTTCCTCTATCAGGTCTGCAGTCTCTGACAGTCCTCTCAAGTGTTACATATATTGAACATTATGTGCGGCCCTTTGGTGATGTCAGGGGTCTCATTTGAGGCCCCCTTTAGCTCATAAGTTGACAACCACTGGTGTAGACAAAGACTGAACCCGGGTTCACACATGATGTGGTGCGGAATTCACACACAGTCTTCAGAATTGGCACCCTTCCTGTGATGGGAATTATTGCACGAACATGGAGAAATCCTTTGGCAAGTGACACATTTCCTCTCACTATGTGTACAACCTTGGATGAAGACCCAGGAGATGGCTGTGGCCACTCTAATCCCGGGTTCACACTGAAGTGGTACGGAATTCGTACCTATTTAAATTGAAGAAAAACAGAGGGGGAAAAAATGAACCGGAATGCATAAAAAAACGCACCGGAATGCGTAAAAAATGCATAAAAAACGCACCAGAATGCACTGGACCGCACCAAAACGCACAAAAAAAATGCACATGGAATGCATAAAAAACCGCACTAGAATGCGTCAAAAATGCATATAAAACTACACTGGAATGCACCAAAATGCACTAAAAATGCATGTCCCTATTTAAATTGAAGAAAAAGAGAGGGGAAAAATTAATTGGAATGTATAAAAACCGCACCAGAACGCGTAAAAAATGCATAATAAAAACAGCACCAGAATGCACTGGAACGCACCAAAACGCACAAAAAAATGCACATGTCCCTATTTAATTTGAAGAAAAAGAGGGGAAAATGAACTGGAATTCATAAAAAACACACTGGAATGCGTCAAAAAAGCATCAAAACCGCACCGGAATGCACTGGAACGCACAAAAACGCACTGGAACCACATGTCCCTATTTAAATTGAAGAAAAGGCGAGAGGGGAAAAAAATGAACTGGAATGCATAAAAAACACACTGGAACCACATGTCCCTATTTAAATTGAAGAAAAAGGGAGAGGGGAAAAATTAACTGGAATGCATAAAAAATGCACTAGAACGAGTCAAAATGCATGGCTGTGGCCACTCTAAGCCTGGGTTCACACTGAAGTGATACGGAATTCATCCCTATTTATATTGAAGAAAAAGAGAGGGGGAAAAAATGAACTGGAATGCATAAAAAAAATGCACCGGAACGCGTAAAAAATGCATAAAAAACCGCACCGGAATGCACTGTAACACACCAAAACGCACAAAAAATTGCACATGGAATGCATAAAAACCGCACTAGAATGCGTCAAAAATGCATAAAAACTACACTGGAATGCACCAAAATGCACTAAAAATGCATGTCCCTATTTAAATTGAAGAAAAAGAGAGGGGAAAAATGAATT